CGGGTGGGATCAGTCTGGGAAAATCGCGATTTCTGATCGTCTGGGTTGCAGGATCTGCGTTCTTCCAGTGTCCTGCCGTGCTGCTCGGGGGAAAGTGAAATTGAATCCCTTTCTCTTCACTCTACTGCCTCCTGCAAACCCCCAGCCCATGTGGGACAGCGTCAAGAAAACCTCTCCTTGCAGCTTAATGTAAATCTAGTTATTTTCATGTGCAAAGTATTTTCCTGATTGGCTTCTATTTGTGTATCGTAACGTATTTAGAGGAATTGAATCCCTGGGAATTACTAACCAAGGGGATGTAAAAGCAAGTTGTGGTGTGGAAGGTCCGTGTTCCCATTTTGCAGAAGATATTTGAAGGAAATATTGCTGGGTTACCTTGCTAGGATGCAGCTGGCAGAAATGCAGCAAAGGTTAAGAGGAACTCGGATACCTGCAAGGTGGTGGGGTGCTTGCCCCCACAGCAAAGAAAGGCAAAAAAAAAAACCAAACCCACAAGAAAAGAGGACATAAAGGGATGAATAAGACCTTTGCAGGACTGGAAGTGGCGGCCGAAATGGCTGCTGAGGGATGGGAGGAGCAGAGGTCGTGCTGTGGCCGTGGGTTATGTTGCCGCACGTAGTGCTGCAGTCTTTGCTCACAGCCAGGGCAGTTTAGTGTGTGACCACAAAGCGAGGGTGTTGAGGAACACCCAGCACCAAAACCGGAGAAGATTGCTGAGGCAGCAAGTAGCTCGTTTTCCTGTGTAGAGAAGCAACCCAACAGAACAAGATGTGGGCTTGTCCGGAGAGGGGCTCAGGTTGATAAGGTGATTTCATTGTAGGTTCTGCTCTCTGCTAAAGGAGTTTAAACCCTGTACAGCCATTCTATAGACCCAACTATTATAAATCAGATTAAACCACTTAAATTATGTAGTAGTGTACCAGGAGAATTATTTGCATATGTATGTGAGGGAGGTTTTTCCACTTTCTGTAGGGAAGTGAAAACAAGCATTGTGTAACAGCTTAGGCATTTTTCAGGGTATTATGCTCTCTATCATAAGTATATTTAAAAAGGTTTTAGTTTAGTTCTTATTAGTACATTCTTTTAAAGCACAAGTTTAATCACTCAGCAATAAAGTTTTCAGTCACTTGAAGTCCAGACAGCATACTTGCATTTATCCATAACATTTTTGTGTGTTTAATAAGGAGTCTGGGACTGTAATACACAGCACAGGTACAAATACTGTACGATTTGGTGTGCAGTACCAATTATTTTGTAGGTAACCCTGTTTGTCTTGAGATCCTGTTACTGCCTGTGTAGATACAATAGAAGTAAAGTCCTGAAAGACATAATGCTATTGAATTTTTTGCTGGTTTTTAATCTTTGCATGAGGCCCACCTGCACCTTGTTTTCTAGCTGTGCTTGTACACAGAGGAAGGGCAATAATTCCTCTCTTTAATGTTTTCCAGGTTATTCAGAATTAATTCTCATGTCAGCAGAAAGCTCAACCATCACAGTCCGTCTGGTTCGTTCTTTTGAACACCGGAATTTCAGACCTGTGGTGTATCATGGCGTTAACTTGGATCAGACAGTAAAGCAGTTCATTACTTTTGTGCAGAAGGGTAAGGGGTGCTTGTCTCATTCATTCGTTTCAGTCCCAAGCGTTGCTGTCTCTGCACAAGAAAGTGGAGGGGAAGCAAATGAATGGGAATTCTGTGGCTTTGGTAGAGATGCCAGATTTGTGTTTACAACCCCTGTGTGCTCTCCCGCCTTGGATGAGAGGTCTGGAGTTAATAAGAACTTCCATGGTCGGTGTGCCATGCCTAAATTTGGATAGACTGCTCGCCCTGCCCAAATCCCCATGTTTAGTCAAAAAGAGAGGAGGGCATTGCTGCATTTGGCTCAGCGCCTCAGGCTTCTTGAGTGATGCTGTCAGGCAGCTACTCATAAATTAACAGGAGTAAATTAATAGAATTTAGAGAGCCTTTGATCCTTAGGAACTACATCAATATGTGGAATGTGGGAACCCAAGTCTGTTTGCTATTTCTGAGAAGAGAGGATCTTGGAAAATTGTTTTTGACACTGTGAGGTCTCATGGTGCATGTTTGCTTCTCAGTTTCTGTCTTGAGCTTTGTGGTGCAGATTTATTCATCTCTGGGCTTTATGTTTTAGAAGCCTGCTTGAAAGTGACAGTGTATCTAAAAGTTAATTAATGCAGACCAGCCCACGCAGTGAGTCAGTCATTAGGGTGTTACTCTCATCTTGCAGGTGAATTTCTACACACCTAAATGGAGACATTCAAAGGGTGCAGAATAACATCATGCGATTTTATTTTCTTTTTTGCATGAAGTCAGCTTAAACAAGTCTCAAACTGTTACAGCTGATAACTTCTGAGCAACTCCTAGGACATTGCCCTGGGCCTCATGGCTGTTAAATGTTTTCGGCAACTTCCATACTTCCAGACAGTGATACGCATGGTGAGATCTGAGGATGCTTTTAGGAAACTGCAAGCGCTTTCAGAACATATGGGGCAGCTGCTGTTATGAAGAGTAAAGTAAAAAACAATGCTAAGAAACTTGCTTTTGATTTGTGCAATGTTGCAATTCTCTGTTATTTGATATGAAGCTAGTGTCTCAGACAAGACTTTTTGGAACCACGTGCCACAGATGGATAATGCTGTTCCTGGCCCAAAAGCTATGTTCCTTCCTTTATTGTATTGTTTTTTGAAAGGAGAGTTTGAGAGAAATTGTTAAACTACTAATGAAATTATGTTTTCGGCAACCTTGGCGCCAAGCAGCCCTTGGCTATCTGGGCCTTCCAAGGCCCTGGTTAAATCCCTGGGTATTACTGGGAACACTGGCACCAGGGAAGGCGTTAGTATTCTTGCAGTTGTTATTGGCTGTGTCCTGTGTGTGACTAAAGAGTTAATTTTCTACAGTTTGGCTTCCTTTTTGTGGCTGGTTCGACTAGCTGTGTTTACTGAACAATTCAGTTATGAAAGACAGTTGTCAGCTGCCTGTAGAAAGTCGAGAGAGATGTGCCAACCATTGGCAGGATGTTTCTGGCAGATTTCTGAAGGATCTGACTCCTGGGATCATATCCTGATTGCACTGACTCACTGTCCTTGTGGGTCTTGTTCAGAGGGACTTCATGCTCAAGTGAAGTTAATCAGATATGGAGTAACTATAGAATCTGAGCTGAAGGTTGTGTTGTGGTATTTTGTGCTCAAACAAGTTTCCTGTATTGTGGATTTATTTTGATGCAAAGGATGTCCAGGATGCATGCATAAAATAATGGAAAATAAAATACTGGAAATAAAAAAAGACAACTTTGTTTTAACTTGGTGCTTTTATTTTAATAGATGTGCCTTCAAGAGCAGGACTTCCTCCTCCTTTCAAAAATTACAAGTATGGTATGCATTTTTTTCCCCTCTTATTTTAATTCCTATAAAAGGCAGACGTAATATTTTATACTAGTTTCTATAGAATTTAGAAGACAACTGCTGTAGAATACTCATGCTGTTGGCAGTGCCTGCCTGTGTTTGCAACACTATCCAGCTCTTGTAGCTGGAGTTATGCTACTAGAGTCGTGTCTACAGAACTTGACCATTATTTTGAAGTTCTGTATTAATCTTTGAATTAGGCTGCACATTATATATAACTTGCTAATTGGTACTGAGGGTTTTTGGTATTAATTTTTTATTACTTTTCTAAGTGCCTTTTAACTACGTTTTTACTCTAGTGAGCAGCTTGTGATCTCAGATGCTTTGAAATTGCAGTTCTCTGTGTGCTTATGTAGTTCAGTATCTATTGACTAATTGTGAAGCCAGAAAGGATGGAGCTGAAGGCAGTAAATGGAAAATGCTTAAGACTTGAATTATTTACACAATATAAGAGCAGCAGGGGTACTTTACTCGAAGAGGATATGAAAGCTTTTGAATACAAGCTGACGGCATGAAACACCCTGGTGTGAAATTTAGGCTGACTTTTTCCTCTAATGTAAAGCTATGTGTATATTTCCTTTTTGTCAAGATTGGCATGAACATGTGCAATGCATCTTTTTGGAACAGAATATACTTTCACAATAGACTAAATAACTTCCTTTCTTGGAATTTATTAACTTGGATGTCAGTACCATATCTTTTTCTAAACTTGGCAATTCTGAAAGTTCCCCTGGAGTTTTGTTACAAGTGATCCTTGGTCTCCCGTGTCCTTGGAGTTGAGAGACTCCTTCCTCTACGATGAATCAAAGAATTGAACGAGGAACCTACTTAATACATGTGAATGGTAATAGATTCTATTTGCCTAGAAAAAAAAAGCCAAACACTTCAGTCTGTGTTCTTGCCAATGGTGAATCAGATAGTGCAAAATGAAGGCAGAATCACAGAGTGTCAGGGGTTGGAAGGGACATCAAAAGATCATCTAGTCCAGCCCCCCTGCCAGAGCAGGAACACCTACAGTAGATCGCACAGGAACGCGTCCAGGTGAGTTTTGAAGAATTAGAGATTAAGATTTATGACACATCAGCAGCAAGGACTTGAACATTACTATTATTTTTAATGTATTACTCAAGATCTTAAAATCTAGGTAACTCTGTGTTTGGATTTGGAAGTGCCCTTCATCCCTCTGATATCTGTGGCCTTGGCTAGATGAGGAGTTCCCTTCTAGAACTGCTGCTGTCAGTTGTATTCCTGGTGTTGCCTGTCCCTGCTGCTAGGCCTTTCATCACTTAGAGCATCAGTTTAGTTTTTCCCCAGGCATATGTTGTGGCTGAGTCCTGGGCTTTGTAGGACCGAGCATAATGTGGATGAAAAAAAACACTGCAGACCTTAAAAACCTGTTACACCAGTTAGTGGAGGCCTACTTTTGGTGGGATGGTGCTAGCTGCGTGGAAATTTTCACCCAGAAAAATCAAAGCCAAGTTCCCCACCTTGCCCTCAGGCTCTGAATCATCCAGGTTCATGTTTTTGGTATCTGTTGTGTGCTCTACTGCATTTCTTGTATTTTGGTAATGAATAAGCAGTGAGACTTCTGCATGAATAGTGTTATTAAGAGTCAGATTTTTCCTTCTGCTTTGTTTGGCAGTGCCAGAAATCTCAGCTGGACCTGGCTGTCTCTCACCTTGCCTCTTTCAGCTTCCTTCTCTCTGGAATTTGCACCACTTTGTTCTCTCAACATCATATATAACACCATCGCATCCTTCCTCTTGCCTTGGCTTGCTAATTTCACATCTCGAAGCTTATGACTTTTATTTTCTCTGTGTTTCTTTGTACCCATCATTCTTGTCCTTGGTCTAGAACTCTTCTCAGTCAGTCTTCTCATCTTCACACCCTGCCTTTGCCATCTTTTCACTGATGATGGCACCCTGCGTGCCAGCTTGTCTCATAAGCTGCTTCTCAGATTTTTTTTCTCCATGAATGTGGAGTAATATCGTAGAATGATTAAGATTGGAAAAGACCTCCAAGATCATCAAGTCTAACTGTGGATGGTAGATATTTCACAGAATCAAGACTTAGAAAGCAATTTCTTACCTATTGTAATGGAAGTTCTATTACCAGAAAAGGAAAGATAAAAATTTGGTAATATGATTGAATGGAACTAAATGGGGATGACATTGAGAGCACAGAAGGCTATAGCTAGGATGAAAAGAGGCTGCAGTTTCATCTTGGTAACAGAGTTAGAGAAGCTATTTAATATCTCAGAAGAAGAGTGCTGGATGCCAGCGGTGAAACTGTGAACAAGTGAAATTGAGACAATAGTTCAGAGAATGACTGGGCAAACACTAGAGAAAAGGGAATGTGACAGGAGAAGCTTAAAACTAAGAGGCAGAGGCTGAACTGTTTTTGCTGTGGTAGGAAGGTTTCATGATTGCAGTATATTGTTGCTTGGTCTTTTTGCAGTGGTTCTCTGCAAGATGGATCCTGGTAATTACAATTTAATACGTGCCTTGCTTCTAATATTGCGATTATTATAGCATGCTAAGGCTGCCTTCTCAGTGATGTCTGTAGTGGGAATAGAGAGTAGCTCTTATGTTAGGTAATGTTTTAAATAAAAATGTTCAAAATGGCCCAGAGTAGTACAGAAACAAACTTGTGAATGTTATTCTGAACATCTGAATACTTGCTCTTGGTAGTTTGAAAGTTGTTTTAGCCTAAATTTAACTTATCATTCTCTTACCAGACTATTTCAACATACAGTGTTCAGTTAATGCCAAAATCAAGCTAGAACAGAAAATGAGCAGGCAAGCAGGACTGGTTTTTGCTTCTTTGCTGGGGAGGGATTGATGTGTCACCTTGAATTAGTTCAAACACAGAGGCTCTGGCTGCATGGGCATCTTCTGGCTTCCATGCCCTCTGAATCTTTGCACTCATTTGGTTGCTGTAGTGACCATATTATTTTCCTCTGGTTTTCCTTTCTGTTAACGAAACCCTGCCCACGTTGCCAGAGGAAAGTGGTTTTGGTTTCGGGTTTTTTTTTTTGCATAGCATAATTTCTTGAAGTGCTACACTGCAAAAATAGATCCAGGGTAAATATTATTGAAGAGGGTATAGCATTAAAAAGAAGAGAGGCTGCACATGGTCATGGAAAATGGACTTGCTCAATAAAATTTCTGCTGTGGGTGTTTTCTTTGTGAGAAGGAAAATTTCAAGGAATGATCTGAAGTGGACAGGTTACTGTGTCTTAATCACTCGCTGCCCATCAACTTACCTGCAGTAGTTGACCGTGCATAAAATGCTGTTTGTCCTCCCCAGCTGCATGTGTAAAACCTATTAGGTTAAAACACCCTAACTGGCATTTAAATTGATATGTTTTGACTGGGCATCAGTTAGTTACTGTAATTCAGCCAGCAGACAGAAGCCCAGTGGGATGCGGTACCTCAATGTTGGATTGACTGGTGTAAGAGTGTAGCTGCAGGACAGGAACATTGAGGTGTTTTCTCCTCTTACAGATTGAATATACAAAATGGTTAAAAAGAAAAAAATTTGAACCTTACCCCTTGGTCTCTCTTCCCCCAGATCAAACTTTCAGTGTTACCTGCCTATTAAGCCTTATTTTAGGGAAACATTGTATTTTATTTCAGATACAATGAAGATTATTCACCAAGCACACAAATCTAAGGTATGACTATTAGCTGTAGCCTTCCCCTTTTACATGCTTTAATGCAGGCTGATCTCTGCACTGGCAAACAAGACTGGGGCAGAGACAGCCAGCAAATTCGTACTCTTATCTTTGTATTCTGATTCTCTGATTTGTAGACCGGTGAACTTGTAGTGAGTTTGGAAGATGATGACAAACTGATTTTGAAAGAAGACAGCACGCTGAAAGCAGCTGGAGTAGGTAGGAGCACATTTGTATTGACTGAAGGTGCTATTCATTGTGGTTGTCATTAAGCTGATAACTGGCTGATTATGTTTGGATAGCCTGCTGAAAAGTAAATGCTATTCCTGATGCTCTTTACACTACTTGGTAATTATTCAGGGAAGAAGGAGAGAGGGGATAATGTACATTCAAATCATTGGGCTGAGGGCAGCAGGTATCTGCACTCCAAATGTTCAGAATGCAAATTGTGATTTTTCAGAGGGTGTGCTTATAATTCTGCTGAGAGTAATTTTAAATGATTGACAGATAGGTTATTAGTACCATGTCTGCTTAGTCTTATCAGTAACATTTAAACTGATGTTTTGGTTAGAAATCTAAGTAGTGGAACCAGTGTGGAATAATGAAATAAGATTAGATTTGTTTAATGTGCAGCGTACAGTGCTCGATAGCCAGATTGCTCAGAAAAGCTCAGGCAGCCTCATTTAGAGAATGTGCTGAACATAGCAAAGAGTTGAAACTCGACTTGATTTCTCACATTTTGACAGGGGACTACATATAGGGCATGTCTTTTGGTAATGCAAAGAAATGTCTGTCATGATAAAATTGATGGTCCCTGGATGTCCTTTGGGCTTCTCATAACTGTGGCTGAATGACTTTGTGGCAGCAGGGTACTTAGGGGATGTGGTTGCCTTCCACCTTGGTATGGACACTTGCTTGTTTGAATCTGATTCGCCTAGCGGGAACACAGAACTAACTGCCTGCGCTCTGAGAGCGGGGGTGTCACAGAGAAAGCTCCCTCCTGTTCCTGATGCCCTCTGACTGCTCCCCAGCTAGTAAATAGGATTTCTTTCTCAATGATTTCTTACCTATTTTGTTTCCTGCCATTTACTTCCTGATTTTAAGTGACTTGGGATGTCTCTTTCATGATGTTTTTCTCACGGGTACACTGTAGTTGGCCTCACGTACATTTCCTAAAGGTCTTTGGGCAAAAAAAAATGATAGTTACTTCCTGTTTTTTTGTACTAAATGGGGCCTTTTTATGGTTCCTTGGGAAGGAGGATTACTGGCACTCAGGTGTTACAGATTTGTAATTTAGTTAGCAGAAGATTCATTTAAGTGTGGTTCTTATGTACCCAAGATGTAAGAGGCAATACAGTTCAGGAAAGGGACTGATGACAGTGCCAAATGTTGAATTAGAAGTGGGGTTGTCCAGAGCTTCGTGCTTTAAAAAAGGCATTGATAAATATTTGTATATATTATTTGTCTTGGAAACTAGGTTTGTAGCTACAACAGTGAACCAGTTGGATAGGATCTCAAAAAAAGCATCAGAACATCAGAGTACATGTTAGAGTGAAAGGAAATCGAAATAGAGCAGCCTCTTCCGTGTCTCCCTACAAAGAGAGGGGTGGGTTATTCATGGATGAAAACAATTTAAAGCTGCTTTTTTTTTTTTTCCAGAATAACTAACAGCAGTTAGTCATAGTAGGTAGTGGATATTTATGGCAGAAAAGAACAACTCTTGCTCTGTAAAATGCAGTGTGCCATTACACCATTTTGAATTTTGATGTGTTCCAGCGTATCTGGTTATGAAAGCTAGCTGAGTTAGGAGCGAGATCTTTCTAGTAAAATCCTGAAGAAGTCCTCCTTCAACAAGAAGTGGAAGAGTAAACCAAGGAAGCAAAGTATGACAGCATATAGCACTAGTCCTCATTTTCGTTTAAATCATCAAGAAGATTTGAAATCTCCTGTTGACATAGTATGTTTTTCTGATACCTAATCTGGACCAAATTTACTAGAATAAAACAGAGAATTGCCATTGGAAGATAAGGGAAATTCTGAGGCATACAGAATTTTTTTTTTCTAAGCTGCAGTTGATTGCCCTTGGCACTTTACAAGATTGGGCTTGAGAGTTATAAATTATGAGGACATTAGATAAGTATCCTCGGGAAAGCCTCTGTGGTAGTGATTATTATTACAGCTATTACCCAGTCAGCAGAGTTAATGCTTGTTTTTTGTTGTTTTTTTTTTTAAGAGGAGAGTGTATGTTAACAAAGTGTTCAGTATTCATTGCAAACAGTCTTGTCTGTTTTCTTGTTGAGATTCTAAAAACCCTCTTCTGCTCTTTTTTTTTTTTTTCTTTTTTACAAGACAGGCAGACTTCATTAACTTCAGGTTTAATTTAAAAAATGAATGTGGATCTTATTGGCTCAGCACCTTAAAGAATTCCATGTTTAATAATTGTGAAGGCTTTCCATCAGATTTGTCTCTGTTCTGAATTAGTAATGTTGCTGACTTACTGTTTTAGAAGAGGAAGTCCTTGACCTACTGGGTTGAAAGAATTGTGACTGCTCTGAACCTTTGTGGGTCCTTTAGCTCTGCCATGTCCCCTGTGAATAATTAGAGGTATTTGAAGGTATTGCTGGAGAAGCCAATTTGTGTCTTTCACTTTGCATATTGTTGAAGCCTCATGAATTAATCATCAGCAGGGCAAAAAATTAACTTCTTCAGACACATATTTTGATGGGTCATGAGGGAGAATGTAAAGTGATCTGTAAAATATTCTACTGATCCTCTAAGTATGAAATTATTATACCTACAGGCTAATTTAATGGAAAAAACCAGTTTCCTTCCCGCTTTCCTAACAGAAAAATGCACAAAAAAAGAGCAAATCAAGCTTTGTTGTTTTTCTAGCATTCGAAGGTGTTAGAAATGCAATCACTTAATTTGCTGAACATTTACACAAACAATTCTGAAGGCTGAGTTAAACAAGTGTTGAGGGGTCTTGTGTATGTAATCTTATGTATGCAGGTTCTTGTGGAGTTTTTGTTTGTTTTCAGTTTTGTTCATTTTTTTAACAAGGTTAAACATCATCTTCAATGATGGAATCTTTTTTGTAAGAAAGATGAAAGGGGGGAAAAAAGCGTATGGTGATTTATAATTATCTTTGACCAAAAAGTTGGCAAAGCTGGGTGTTGGGTGGTTCATTTACTGATGTGCTAAATATTTAATTTTTTATTTGTTCTAGCAAATGAGACCGAATTAGCATTCTTCTGTGAGGAAGATTACAGAAACTACAAAGCTAATCCTGTTTCAGCCTGGTGAAGATCCCGAGAGATTGTTTTGTTTTCCCATACCTGTTGTAATTTTTCCTTATTCTGCTTAATGAGATTTTTCTTAAAGATCAATAAATCCTAGAGGATTGCTTTGCAAAGAGTGCAGTTCCCTTCCTATAGAAATTAATTTCTGTCAATATGCTGAGACTGAGAGAAGGAAAACTGGGGGACAGAAATTACTTTTTTTCCTTCTTGCATTTTTTTCTTTTGCTTGCCTCTCACAATGCAGGTAGCGCACTCTCTGACCTGTGACACGTTCTTGGTGTGATCCTACAGCAGACATGAGCTACCAACGGAGATTGCGCAGTGCACAGTAAGGGTCCATCACAATACTCACTTTAATGAAAATGGAAATGTTTTGTGACCAAATCACTGGGTATTTTAGAGAGCTTGAGAAGAGCATTGCTCTGTTTCAAGTCATAGCTTTGCTTCTCTCGTTTTTATGTTCAGTCCCTTTTGTTTAAATCGTGCAGACTGGCAAGTATTTCATGCTCTTCACTGGTGAATGCTTTCCTTTATACTCCTTTCCAGCCCTCTTTAGCATGCTGAAAGGGACACATGACTGTTGGGAGGATTTTTCGGTTCAAGAACCAGCTCGCCTGTTTTTAGCTTTTCTTCATGGAGACCTGAGCATGTAAGAGGTAGCAACCTGAGTGCTGCCAGGACATTGTCAAGCATAAGTGAGAACTGGGCGTTTTTCCAAATGGAGTGAAAGCTCATGGTTTCAGTTTTAAGAATAAAACCTGAATGATTGCATTTTCACGAGGATGTCTGTGAGCCACATGTCTTCAAGGCTGGAGTTCATTCTTTCCTGCTTTCCAAGAGTCAAATACTGTGTTGCTATCTGTTAGTTCTTGGTAATTCCAGGCTTTACTAGTACGTTAAGCAAATAAAGAATAAGAAAAAATAGTCATGCATCCAATAAAGTACCTTTAGAGTGATACTGCTTATGCAACTGCTTTTTAGGGGGTACCAAGATGGGGCACTGTGCTTTTAAGCTTCCCTTCACTGAAATAGAAGTGATGCTGGCTTTTTGCCCTAGCACTCTTTTTGGGCATAGGCTCTGCTAAATCAAGTAAGACTTCACGTGCAGTTGCTTTAGACTCACATATCTGCTCTCAACTCTGGGTGAGAGCTGACAACACCATTTCCACAAGAGATTTTCCAGAGAAGAAACCTTACGGTTTCCTGGAGCTTTGATTTTTAAAAAATTTTTATTATTGACATGCGATAGTAAAAGCAGATGTGTGATTTCCAAAGTATCTAAATAAAAGTTCTCTTTACTTTAGATGTAGGGCCAAAGAAACCTCTGTGTATTGTTCCCACCTCATTTTCTTCATCCTTCCTGTCAACTCTCTGGTTTAGGCTGGCTTTGGTAGCTGGTGTTCCCAACAGCTTTGCTTCAAATGGAGTTTCATTCTCTTGTGAAAGTAGTCTACCACTTTATCACCTGCGATTAAAAGGGTGATTGTATCTTTGTCTTATAAGGAGGAGTTCTGTGTCGCTGAAGTCACTTGTATTCTCTTGGGATTTAGACACGTGGTCTGAGAAGAATTTACCACATGCCTCCTCTTTCTGTGCAGGCTGCCTTTCCGTTGCTGGTACTTGCTTCCCCAAACGTGGGCCCATGTCTCAGCTACCTTCTGACAGTCTGTCGTGTTTGCAGATTAATCTGGTTAATAGGAGTTTGTGCTCATCTTCTCAGGCGGTTTAAGCTAATGCACTGCACGCCAGAGTACACCAGCTTTGTCCAGCCTAGTTTACAATAAGGAAGGTAACACTGTAAGAAGCAGCTGGCGTATGGAGAGATCCGTGTCTAAGACTCTCCTCCCGAAGCATCTAGATGACGTGTATCAGCAAACTGAGGCTCTCAGACTGAGCAAACACTGTCGTTCTTTTCCTCTTGTTCTGGGGATTTGAATTTGGTCTCTAGCTCTTTCAGACAGATTTGGATTTGTTTTGTGATCCCTTTTCTCTATTGCATTTGTGTTTGAGAGGGTCACAAAATTTTAGCAACGGTACTTTCTGGGCTAGTATGGATATAATTGTTCAGTGCCACGCTGCATGTGTCGTCGAGCAATTCTACAGCATCAGTGAGAGAACAGTACATGTTTTAATGCAAATACTCAAGAACGATGTGTCTGGCACTCCAGATTAGCTTCTTTTTCCAAGGGAAGAGTTAAACTACTGCTTTGTGAGCTCAGTTGCTCTGGCAATGGCACTTCATTGGCTCCTTTCTGCAACAGCACAGAAGAGCCTTTTGTAATGCTCTCAATGAGCATACTTGTAAACTGGTTTCTTGCTGAAGTATTTGTCTACTGTGGGTTTTTTTTTTTTAATTGGACCTTTAATAATGCTTCTTTCAAATAAACTCCACAAAATCGTAGATAATAACTGAGAACCTGTTAAGACAGATGCTGTTCCAGCATTTTTTGGTGGGAAAGTGTCAAAGTAGATTTGACTCCAGGATTATTGAGTACTGAATGAAATATGTGAACACCGGCTAATGAACTGCTGAAGACCAAGATGTCTTTGCCCACATTATAAAATCTTCTTTCAATTGAAGGAAACCACCTACAGAGTTGGTACCATGGTTTATTATCCTGGTGGATGTCATGAACTGCATTGATTTAGAATTACTGTTAATTGGAGTGGCTTCTCCATAATGTGTAGTGGGGTAAGTGATAGGTTTGCTAGTGTTCTGAGACATCATGGAGTTAGTAAGGACTTGTCTTTCATTATGATGTCCCTGGAGCCTTTTACCAGCCTTTTTAAAAAAAACAAAACCTAACAACCAACAACAAGAACAAAAACCCAGCATCCAGAGCGGACACTGAAATGAGATACAACTTCTCCTGGCTTATAGCATGGTGTGGAAACAGCAGTCAGACTGGAAGCTGAGGGTTGGGTGTAGAGCCTGGGTGTTGCTTGGAGAAAAAAAATCACTCCAGAGAGATGGGAGTTTTTGGTTAGGAGTTGTGGATGAATTGCTATTAAGGAGAAGAGAGGAAATTGGGACAGGAATTGTCTTGAGGAGGAAGAAGTGGTAACAGTGTAACTGAATAAAGATACGAAATCTTGAGTGTACAACACTTGGCACAAAAGTACCAGAGTAGTGCTGCTTTTCATAACCCTTAACAGTATGAAAATGGTGCATTTTAGTATTTTTTTATAAATTGAACTCATCGTCTCCTGGAGCAGGCATCTTGGTTTTTTTCTGGCTTTGTCACATTGTACTTTCTGCATGCAGCATTGAGTATTTTTCTGTCCAGAGGTAGTGATGTTGCCTCTCGAGGAAGCTAATAAAACTGCTTACATGGATAGCTGAGTTAAATGTTGACATTTACTAGTGGCATAAAGGAGTCCTCAAAGATCTGGTAGGCACCACTGTTAAACTTGGGGAACTGCTTTATCTGCTGTAAACATTCTGTCTTAAAGGTGATCCAGAGGTATATTGTAAGCGATGGTGTTTCCCTTTCTTTCCCTGCGAGTATTCAGCACCTCCTCTGACATCATTTCCTTAAACATGAGCTTGCAAGCAACGGTCTAAGAGATACCACAGCCACAATGCCACATCCGAGGGTCGTGTCCTTGGAAGTTAACAGCCACAAAAATCTCGAGTTTCCAGAGATCAAGAATGAAAAATTAGAACATATGCTACTCATTCTTGGTCTTATATGACTGATAGGATCCTGCCATCACAGTGGCAGTGGCTGGAGGCATTACGGATGCTTAAAGCAAGTGCACACATTTGCTTATTGAACACTTTAGACTGAGCTCTGTCTGCCCGGTCTGATCCTCCTTTCATGACTTCCTTTTCATAGTACTACTTGATACAGGTTTGCAAATGATTAATGAGTTAAGCAAGGACACCCTGTAGACAACTTTGCTACTTTTCGGATTATCAGGACACTGACTTTTCCCTCCTACCTACTTTCCTGTTGAGTTAGAGAAACAGACACGCCTTTGCATGTTATCCCAGCCACTGCCCTTGCTTCTTGCTGCCACCTCTGCAGATCTGCAGCGCTTTAATGGTTTGGTTTGCACTTCATCTGATACGCCATAGCAGCATTTCCTCTGGCAGTGAATGTACTTTTTTTTTTTTTCATGAAGAGATAGGTTTTGAAATAAAGAGGAGACCTTCTCTACACTGTCACTAATAGTGCAAAGCAAAGGATCCTTTCTTGTTTCACAGGAGGACTTGTGCAGGACAGCACTGTCTACTGGGCAGTGGAAACAGAAATGTTTTTATCGTAGTGCTTTGTATCTTGGAAGGAAATGAGAGAAGTTACATCGGGAATACAAAAAAATAAAATGCAGCGAAAAGGGAAGAACTATTGCCATAAACCGTCTTCAGAGAAAGCCACCAGATGTCAGCACAGCCTGTTCTTTCATTCTCCAGAGCCTGTATAAGCCAAGAAATATGTAATGTTTATGAAAAGTGCTTCTCTGTGAATTCGTTTAGCCTACAAACTCTGTACTTGGGTTCTGGTGATGAAAGCTGAATCTTTACTTGCAGAAAGTATTTCTTTTTATATTAAAATCAAAAAGCGGCAAATTGAACTGCTATCAGTGCTTAAATTCCTCTTGTTAGAGAGCATCCTTTGCGGAGCCAGATCCAGCGTAGCTAAATCTTTGCGTGCTGTGAGGAGGCATTTGCGGAACATTCATTTGAAAAATTGTCTGGAATAGATCAGCGTTAATTTGCTGAGGTTTTGTAAAGTAGACTTTAAATATGCCCTTTTTTTTTTCTGAACACAAGGAAAACCACTCAGAACAGACACACATGCAAAGCAGAGCAAAACATCTCCAGCAACACAGCTTAAACACACAACAAATACAACCTCCATGCTTCTGACCCTAAGCTCCTTGCAGTACAAGGGCTAAGGAGATCCTGGCACGGTGTTCTCCAGGCCACGCTTTCTGAGCTGCGATAGGAGTTTCCAAGCCCATACCCAGGCACTGCGCACAGCTTTATGCTGTCAGCGATTGAAGTGTGCATAGATGCTGCCTGGTTAAAAGGGTAAATTTGGGTTGTTGCACAGGGGCAAGGTGTGACGGAGCTCTCTGCTGAGACTTCTATGACTTTTCTTGCAGCGGCTTGCAGGTGCCAGGGCAGCCATTGAAGAGAGGGAAGTTAAGTGGCAGGTAGAGCCT